TAAAGTTGGGTTCCTCTGTCCTTCTAGACACATTTCAGTTGCCAGTAGCCCCTTGTGGCTAGGCACTGCCTTACTGAACAGCACAGATAGAGAATATCTCGGTTGTCACAGAAGGGTCTTTGGACAGCATCACTCTAGAGAAAGACTCACATTCTTCAGCTGTGTGAAATTGTCTTATTTTATTTCTTTGATAATTTTCTACCATCTCTTTTTTCTGTTTCTCACTGCCTGAAACTTCTGTTGATAAGATATTAGACCTCCCGGATTCTCTAAATCTTTTTTTCCTGTCACATTTTGAAATCCTCGTATTTTTTTCCTACTTTCGGAAGGATTTCCTTGATTTAATCTACAAGCCCTGCTATTGCATTTTATACTTGAGCTCTTGAATTTAAAATTTTCAGGAGTTCTTTATTCTCAGAGCTTTCCTTTTTCATAACATCTTGTTTTTGTTTTATGATTGCAGTGCCTTTTCTGAGAATACCTATTAGATGATTCATTGTTGTTTTGTTTTAGATTTTTAGTAAGAACTAAATGGATATTTTAAAAATATTTTTAAAACATCATTATTTTTTATTGGGCCTCCCTTTTTTTTATTTGTTTATCTGTAATCACCTTTTATTCTGAAGACCCCCCCTTAAATATCTGGTAACTCTTGATTATCTGTGTCACTAAAAACCAACTTGGGAGTTTTATGTATGTTGCAGGATTTATTGCCTGGCAGGCCTTTCCTGGGGAACTTTTCCATGCTTGAATAAAATAAAAAACAATAGCAAAAAAATCAATAAAACTCAAGATTGGTTCCTTGAAAAGGTAAATGTAACTGATAAACCACTAGCAAGATTGACAAAGAAAAAAAGAGAAGACACAAACTACCAGTATCAGGAGTGAAAGAGGAGATATCACTACAGACCCACTAGACATTAAAATGATAATAATAAGGTAGTACTACAAACAACTCTGCAGGTAAATTCAACAACTTTGATGAAACGGACCACTTCCTTGAATGCACAAATTACAAAACCCCACAAAGATGAAATAGATGGCCCATGAGTAGTCTTATAACAGTTAGAGAAATTAAATTTGTAGTTTAAAACCTTCCAAAAAAGAAGTCTCCAGGCCCAGATGGTTTCACTACTGAATTCCTCCAACAATGTAAAGAAGAAAAACCACCAATTTACACAATCTTAGAGAATAGAAGAGAAGGGAACACTTCTCAATTTATTCTGTATGGCTAGCATTACTCTGATATTGAAACTAGACAACAACAGTACAAAAAAGAGAAAACTACAGACAAGTTTCAGTGAATATCAGTGCAAATATCCTCAACAAAACATTAGAAAATTGAATTCAGAAATATATAAAAAGAATAATACACTATGACCATGTGGGGCTTCTCCCTGGAATGCAAGACTGATGTGGTATTCGAAAAATAAATCAATGTAATCCACCATACCTAGTAGTTTAAACAGAGAAATCACATGATATCAGGAGACACCAAAAAATAAAAAAATAAAAACCCCACCACCCATATACATTTGACAAAATGCGACATACACTCATGGTAAAAACTCTTGGCTAACTAGAAATAGTAGGGAACTTTCTGTACCTGTTGAAGGAGATCTGTAAAAATCCTGCAGCTACCCTCATACTTAATCATGAGAGACTGAATGCTTCTTTCTAAGATAGGAACAAGGTAAGATGTCTCCACTCAACACTCCAACATTGTACTAGAATTCTTAGCCAGTGCAATAAGGCAAGGAAATAATAGTCATAGGGATTGAGAAGGAAGAAATAAAACTATCCTGTTCATAACTGCATGATTGTCAATATAGGAAAAAACCCAAGAAATCTCTCAAAAAATAAACAGCAAAAAACCTATAATGTGAGTTTTGTAAGGTTACAGGTATAAGGTCAACACACAAAAATCAATCACATTTTTATATACTAGCAATGTACAATTGAAAATCAAAATATAAAAGCCAATACCATTTATAATAGCTCAAAGAAAAATGAAATACTTAGGTGTGAATGTAACAAAACCTGTACAGGATCTGTATGCTGAAAACGACAAAACTCCTAAAATGTAATTTATTTGGTGTATAAATCATTTTATTCATTTGCCATCAAGATTTCTCTGCCTGTGCTCAAATTACCTTTAAGGACAGATTCTGAAGTAGCAAACCATTTTTTATGCATTTACCTTCATCTATGTTATATGAAATAGATGTACCAGTAGACCATTTTTATGTATATTATCTTCAATATATCTGTCTAATTTTAAAAACATTAAAACAATTTTGTTTCAGTTCTCTTTTTCTGACATAAAAGATCAGTCGTATTCATAATGTGATTTGAAATTGAATTTCATATTTCATCTACACATTCATCTCTGTCAATAGCTGCTTAGGAACTGTTATGGATATATTATGCAATACTTCCTCAGATCCTGCTGTATGTGTCAACTGAGTGATTTTTTTTTTTTTGGATTTCAGTTTGGAAGATGTAAGTGATACACATTTTCTATAAAGTTTAATAGAATATTGTCTCCTCTTACATAAGCCTTTTGTTTCTTTCTAATTTTTAGTTTTCCTCATATAAGCCTGTGGTTCATATGTCTATTCATTGCAAAAAGTTGTTTGCTTATACTACTGGTTTATGTATGTTAATTATTTAAGGAAAAAGGGCTTATAAAGTTAATGCCTGAAATTCATTTATCTAGTGCTCTGTATCACTGGGAGATTTGATTATTACAACCTGCTGTTTCTGAGGCTGTGTAACTGACATTAGTTTTGTATTTTAGTATTCACACATAGACTTTAGAATGGGACCCCCTGCAGATTGTGACTGGGCTAAACACTCAGGGTAGGGTAATAAAAAGAAACACTTCATTTCGGCTTCAAGAGCTAATCGTCTTCATCACAAACCTTGACAAAAAAGACACTGCACAAGCTGTGGTGCTTGAACATTCAGGGGTTGTCTGGGCATACAGAACATAAAGCAGTTTAGAGAGACTGGTTATTCTACTCAGTACCTTAATTTAATGACCTAGACAAAGAAATTTCAAATGTGCTGATTAAATTTGTAATTGACACTAAGCTAATTAGGATGGTTAATATTCTAGAAAACCATAATCCAATTCAGAATGATTTTGACCATTGAAAAAAATTGCCGTTAAAGCAGAGTAAAATTAAAAATGAATTTAAACATTATGCTTAGAGACAGAAGATCAATAAAAATATATGTGAAAAGGATGGCAATTATGAGAAATACATATGAGAGAAGGTTAACTAGATGGCAGTATTACCTCTCACCTTCCTTATCCAGTATCTAAGACTCTGGAAACACAGAAACGACCTGGGCACTCATAGCTTTAATAGTGGCAATTGTTCTCCTCCCACCTTTTCCTACCTTTCTGCACAAGGGTAGCCAGTCCAGACCCGTTCCCTTCCCTGGTTTATATGCTAGCGGTTCTATTGGTTTTGACCTTGTACTCTCAATACTTACACCCACAGTTTCCCCCATCTAATTGGCTGACAGTGTCTGCTGGTGCTGTTTTAGATTTCCAAAAACATCTTGCTATTACTGTGCCAATTTATCTGTCTCTTTCCTTTGTAATCCAATCTCTAGTTCCTGGTTTCCAATTATTGCTAACAACAATAGTAAAAGAAAGATTCCTCAGAATCATAATTGACTACAAACTGAACAGCAAATTAATTATTATTGGGGAAAAAAAGAAAACAGCAAAGAAAGCCAATCTCTGTCACCTAAGACCAAATATGTAATCTTAACTTTATATGTTATATTGAAAGAATTATGTAACAATGAACCCACGTAGATGTGTCAAAACTGTTCTAAAAGCCGTGCATCCTTAACTCATTTCATTCTTACGACAGTCCCAAGAGGTGGGTACTGTGGGTGATTCATTCTATACATGAAGTTCCCAAGAGGTTAAGTCACTTGCCTGAGATGACACTGCTGGTGAAAGGCAGAGCCTGAAGTCTAACCCAGTTAGTCTGGCTCTAGAGGGCTGACCCCTAACCACTATTCTACACTGCCTTGCTATTGGAGGTGACACTGGATATAGGCCACAAGCACCAGGCAGGAACAAACTGGAGAGCACTTAGATAAAAATAAAAAATCTTTAAATGGCTGGTAAATAAATCATGTTAGGAGGGTTAAAGGAATTTGGGTTTTGCAAATTTAGGAAGTTTAGGGAAGAGAAAATATAAGGAGTGAGTTAATTGAGTTTCAAACACATAGAGGATTTTTTCAAGAAAGTAGTTAGTATCTTGTGTCAATTGAAGATCGACTAAAAGAAATGCTGTGAAGTCCAATCAGGAATGTTGATGTTGGATAGGAGGAACCATGTCTTGCTGTCAGATCTAAGGAAAAATAAATTGGGAGGTTGTGAAGGCTCGGGCCCAAGACATAAGTCTAGAATGGATGACTCTGATGAAGATGGCTACTATTCAATTGACTTGCGACTATACTTTGTCTCTTTAATTCTGAGCAGATGCGATCATTCTTATTCTTAATCTGCCATTACCTAAAATGTTAATAGAATTTCAGAACTGAAGACATTTGCGACTATACTTTGTCTCTTTAATTCTGAGCAGATGCAATCATTCTTATTCTTAATCTGCCATTACCTAAAATGTTAATAGAATTTCAGAACTGAAGACATCTAGTTCAACTACCATATTTTACAGACAAGAAAACAATCAGAAATCAGATGTGTGTTGTTATAGGATGGACTATGTAGTAAGGGACAGAACTGAGCTTTGAACCCAGGTCTCCTGACATCATGTTCAGAACTCAGGCTGCCTTGTTTTTGGCTTGGGGCAGAGGGTAAGGAAGGGAGAGTTTCACAGTCACAGAAGATAATAGTCTTGAGAATTTCTACTTGATATAGTGAGATTGCTATGGACCTGAAAGGGGGAGGGGTGTGGAATAAGGTGCACTGATTTATGAAATGTCCTTTTTTTTTTTTTTTAATGTAGTATGAACCCAGAGGACCTGGTCGGCCCTTGTACCAAAGAAGAATCTCATCTAGCTCAGTCCAGCCTTGTTCTGAAGAAGTAAGAACTCCACAAGATAGTCTGGCTCAGTGTAAGGAGCTTCAGGACCACGGTAACCAATCTTCTTTCAACTTTTCATCCCCGGAGTCCTGGGTAAACACCACCTCATCTACCCCCTATCAGAACATTCCATGCAATGGATCCAGCAGGACAGCTCAGCCCAGAGAGTTAATAGGTAAGATGGTGGGTGATTTTTAAAACTCTGTAATTTTAACTCCTTAGCTCCCTGCCCCCTCAATTTACGTTATTATCTTTGCATTTAATGCCCATAGCTGGTAGGTGTGCCCCAGGCATACATATTAATTTAGAACTATATTGATTCCATTTATGGTCCATATTTGGAAACTGATCATTTCATCATTTTGACCTATGATTGAAGGAAAGAAGTAATGAAACTTAAAACTTTTAAAAAAAATTTTTTTAAAAATTTTTTTGTCTTTTTCCGTGTCTGGCAACGGATTGCAACCCTCAGTGTCGCCCCCATACCGGACCGGGACCGGCAACGGGATCGCAGCCCTCTGTGTTGCTCCCGCGCCTCGCTCAGCCAGTGAGCGGGTTTTTTTTTTTTTTTTTTTCCTTTTTTTGTCTTTTTTCGTGACGGGCAACGGGATCGCAACCCTCCGTGTTGTGCCTGCACCTCGCTCAACCAGTGAGCGGCCGGTCTGTACGTGGGATCCGAACCCTCGGCGGGAGCACCGCCGCACTCCCAAGCGGCGCACTATAGCAGTGCGCCACCGGGCTGGCCCCTAACTGATCTGTTTTTGATCATGGGCCATATAACAGTATTTTTAGAACAATAGACATGGTAGGACAAAAACCATTTAGAAGACTTTGCTTTTGTTTCCTGGCAAGCGACATTGTCATTTTAATCTTTAAATGTTCATTAATACTTAGTATGTGTAAGCTGCTGTACAGTATTTTGCCTGGTTATGTTATCATATTTGAATTTTCTGAGAAATACCTAAATTACAAATTAGTGATGATAATTTGGTTGTTTGGGTTACCTTTTGGTTGTTTTGTTCATTATAATTTATTTTAAAGATAACATCATTTTTTTCCTTTTGTTTTTTCTACCTACATTTTAGGATAGCTTTTGGCCAAAATAAATAACAATGTGAACTAAGCTGATAAGGTAGAAAGTTCCTGAATAAATGCCCAAATCTCATGTCACCTGTGGTATCTTTTCTGCAAATATAGAATGATTATCTTCTTCATTGCTAGGAGACAAATTGTAGTATTTTTTAGTTTAACGTAACACTTAGTGACTTTGAATTAATTTTGACAATAGTTTTTTTTAGAGAAATGTAGCAGTGGTACGTAAGCCAAAAAAATCGCCATACAGGAGACTTCTTTCTGAATTTTGAGATTTATTTCTTGAGCTTGAAGAAAAGTATATTATATTGGTTTGAAATTGAAAAGAGAGATCACTGTGTTAGACATGGATATGTTTTCTCCACAATTAAATTATAAGCTTGAGAGCAGAGACCATGTCTTTGAACTTTTTGAACTTTGAATTTCCCATTTTGGCGCTAAACACACACTTCAGGCTCTTGGTAAACGCTTGCTGAGTAAGGAGATAATGAAAACAGACTGTGTGCAGTCGAGGGGGTGGTCCAGTCGCACTGTGGTGGTGGTGGTTGGGGGGGGCTTCTCCAACACAGGTGTCCAGTCGCACTGTGGTGGTGGTGGTGGTGGTGGGGTTTCTCCAACACAGGTGTTTGAACAAAAGCAATCTGGTTTCTGTTCACTTACCTCGGTGACAAAGCATACTTTATCAGACATTTTCTTTTAATAAGTGAGATGAAAATTTAAGATTAGATAGAGATGTGTATTTTGAAAAATGTTCTTAGTTGTAAGATTAGTAAAAGTAATAGTCTTAGAGAATGGTTTCTTTCATTTGGAATATATACAATATATCTAATTAATAGAGATCTTGCATTCATGGTTAGATAAGTACACAGGCATTAGGTTAAACTGCCTCAAATATTATTTTCTAAGTATTTATTATTTAATTGAAAACATTTTAAACTCTAATTACATTGTTTTGAAAATGAGAACTTGGTTAAATAAATCTTAGTAAAGTTAATAAAAATAGTAAGTTCTGGAACAGCCAATACTGTTATTTTATGTATTGTGTTAGACAGTGCAGGCCACTTTTATATTGAAATATTTGTTAAACTAATGTTTTTGAAAGCAATTGCTTTGTTCAAAAAACTAGTGATATGTAGAGGAAAAGTGATGAATGTTCTAGAAAGATGTTAGATGCTTTAAAGTAATTTTGAACAATTTAATGAATTTTTAAAGTTTTAAAATAGTAGTATGAAATTAGCATATTGAATAAGTTAAATTCTAAAACTAAACAAAATATTTTCACCTTAACCTTTAAATTCTCATTTTATGTTTATATGGGCAAACGTGTTTCTGATGTTAAAATGCTTTGTTTAAACTTTGTTGTGTTAGGTATGATGTAGCTTCTGTTGAGCATTACCAATATGTTTTAGTGAAAATCAACCATTATAGTTTGTGTTTTAAAAAGAATTATTAGTAGAGTTTCTTATGGTGTCTATTTTTTACTTATTTCGAACTCAAGGATAGAGCAACTTCACCTAAATATCTGAAGACCAAAAGATCTAAATATCTGGTTTTCCTCTATTTGGCGATTGTGTTCATTGCAAGAAACAGAAACAGAAACCGACCCAAATTAGCTCAAGTGAAAAGAATTTTATTGGAAATAGGTACAGGAAGGCCAGTTGGATTCATGAGAGGAACTGGATAGTTTTCTGGTAGATGCATGTAATCCATGTAAAGTACATAGCACAAAGTGCCTCGCCTGTAGTAAACACAGTCATGAGACATGTAATGATGTCCCCCCATGCGTGTTGACTGTGGTCCCATAAGATTATGGTTCCGTAATTTCACTATACCTTATCTATGTTTAGATACACAAACTCTTACCATTGTAGTACAGTTGCCCACAGTATTCAGTACAGTAACATACAAACATAGCCTAGGAGCGATAGGTCGTATCATATAACCTAGGTATGTAGCAGTCTACACGACCTAGGTTTGTGTAAGCATACTCCAGGGTGCTCGCACGACAAAGTCGCCTAACGACGCATTTCTCGGGACCTGTCCCCATCATTAAGTGATGTATGACTGTACTCAGATACTAGATGTGATTATCATAACATCCCTCTCAGGGCCCTGTGGCTTCCTCTACTCCTTGCTTCTGCTTTTCTTTGTAGATTAGTCTTCTAATTGCTCCACTTCTCCATGTGTTTTTTAACTGGCTTTGGGTTGCCACAGTACCTTGACTCCATATAATCTAGCTAAAGATCTCAATTTCTCTCTCCCCCTCCTCCCCACCGCATGCGCGCGCACACACGCACGCGCGCGCGCGCGCACACACACACACACACACACACTTCTGGGAGAAGGAATCTGGCCCAGTTTGGATCAAGTATGGTCCAGTGTTGTGAGTGGAACACTCTTTAAGACATGGACACAAGGAGGGAAGAACCAACCTATCTAGCGCTCTAATAAGTGTTATATTATCTGCTTTTAGCTCCACCCAAGACTGTCAAACCCCCTGAGGATCAACTGAAGTCTGAAAACCTTGAAGTGTCCAGTTCCTTCAACTATAATGTGCTGCAGCATCTCGGCCAGTTTCCACCCCTCATGCCCAACAAGCAGATCGCGGAGTCGGCCAACAGCAGTAGCCAGCAGAGTTCTGGGGGGAGCAGGCCCGCCATGTCTTATGCCAGCGCTCTGCGGGCCCCTCCCAAGCCCAGGCCCCCACCTGAACAGGCCAAGAAGAGTAGCGACCCTCTGTCTCTGTTCCAGGAACTTAGCCTGGGGAGCTCGTCGGGCAGCAATGGCTTTTATTCTTATTTTAAATAATCACTTTTTTTCCCTCAAGGGAGAATGTTTTAATTTCTGTTTGTACCAATAGAATTAAGGTAGTTGGACTTCATCTATAGATGCACAGTTCCTTTGTTTTAATATTAAATATGTTCTCACTTAATTGCTTTGCTGCTAGACTTGCAACTAATTTTTTAAAAGTATATTCCATTATTTTGCATTTTTGATGTGTCAGAATTTTGACAGCTTTTATGTAGAATAAAAATATTTTTAAATTTGTGTATTGTTACATATGTTTGCATCAAGCTAGCAGCTAAGAGGTTAATTGTGCAACTATAAAAAAAGAAAAAAAGTTTGTCTAAAATGTATTTAAAAAGAAAAAAAAAATTGTAAGTAGCATTTACATTTATTCAATAATATTACCATATGCTGGGTTTCTGTACCAGAAATGGCCAGTTGATGTACAAATGTATGTTATTTTTGCTTAAATTCATTTAAAATTTTTTAAAATAAAGGAGCAGCATCTTCTAAATACTTTAAGTTTATCAGCTTTTTTTTTTTGTGACAGGATGCTGCATTCTAAAACTTTTATAGTTTTAGACTACGTATTTTGTGCTGTTGTAATCTCCATCCACCGTAGGATAGAGTTAAAGGCATTCTTTGCAGGTGTATTTTGTATGTCACTGTTTTTTGAAATGTGAAAAAACATTGGCATACTTAGTTATTTTTTAGACAAGCTACACTTGAAGCTTGTTTTTAATGTTAATTTGATAGTGTGTTTTTTTTAAACAAATCATGAAGCTGAAAAATTTTTAGGATTGTTGGTGCTTTGTAGACTTGATAACTATTTTAAAAATGCGTGAATTTAGTAAAATCTTTTTTTTTTTTTTTTCTCACTATGCATGTGTAAATGTTTGTAACCTGGCATTTTCCCTTTTTCCAGTGGTATAAAGAATTGTGCCGCTTTAAGGTTTGGTTTTTTTTTTTTCCCCCCTCCAGTAAAAATTTTGGTACCTTATTTGATGTTTACATTAAAATGTGACATTATATATGGCAATTCAAATATTTTGCTAGCTGTCTTGTTTGAGGAACATCATTAAAGAAGAAATACAATGTTTGTCAAAAATGTATGAAAATTCATCAAAATCTGGGGCAGAAAACTACCCTTGTTTTTCAAGTCTTTCAGTTCTTCTAAAATACCCCTACTGAACTTGTATAAAAATATAAAATTTAAATAGCTATCTTAAATATTCTACAGTCTGACAGTTGTTTTGAATGAACTTTGGTAAAACCCAAAGGAAAATGTTTACCCTCTTTAAACTTGTCGTCTTGTCACACATTTGAAGCCATGCATGTCCTTATTTTCCTGATCTAGTAGTACTACTTTTATATTTCAGAGATATCTTAAAACTACAATATAACCTTCTTTTTCTAAATAAGATGAGGCTGAGGAACATTTCAAATGAACGCAGCCTTCTGGATGAGCCATTCAAAAGTAGTTTTCTGGAAGAGTACTTTTGATAGGCCATCTTATCTTCACAGTACATTTTTAAAACTGGGTTGATAGTGACAAGGGTAAAGAAAACTACTTACATCTCTTATATGACTGGAGTTTAGTTTATGTTGGCCAGCTACAACCTCCTGTAATCCTCAGACAACTTGGGATAAAAGAGAGTGCCTTTGGTGAAAGTTTAGCAAGCTACAGGACAAATGGGGCGTGCCTGTTTTAATCAGTTCTGCCTTTCTGCTCAGAGTGCAATTCATTTGTATGTGGCTTCCTATCCCAGGCTGCAAGTCTCTGTGTCAGGTGGCAGATGTAGACCTGTGGATTGCAGACGTGTTAATGGTTAGTATAAATCACACTTGGAAAACTGAGCCAGCACGTTACAGCCCTGCGCCTCCTCTGTGTGATGTCAGATCACCACATTTAGCTGTGTGTTACATTTGGCTCTCCATACTGTAGTCAGAAGAAAAGAAGAAAAATTTTTGCCATATAGCTATGTATTTCCAACTCAATGACTAAACTCAAGATATAACCCAAAAGAAAATTAGGTCTCGCTGATGTGAGGATGTCTATGAAAAACAATTTTCTCATCAGTGATGATCCCACCGCCCACCCCCTACCCCATATAAAGGACTACAACATAAGCTAGATAAATGTTCAAAAGCATTTTGAAAATATGAAGACAGAATTGCAATGTCAGGGCTTTCAGTTAACACCTTGTCAAGAGGTTATTGCCTAATTTTCTGTTTTCCATACTTGAACCTTTAAAGAATATCAGTTTTTAAATTATTTATATTTATATTTCATTGAAATCATGTGCACACACACACACCCTCCACCTTATATAAATATATTGATGATGGAAGCTTTGGATAAGGAAGCTGTTGTCATGTTCTTACACAGTAAGAACATCCTCATTCTAAACGGTTATTTCTAAAAATCTGAAAATAATAGCTACTTATTAGTCCACTGCTCTGCTGTTAAGTTTCTGAGTTTTCCTTGTTTCCTTACTGTTTCCACAGCTCATTAAGGATTCAAATGTTTCCATCTGATACTCTTCAGATTCTGGATCGAATGCTTATTTTAACCTCTAACAAGCTTACTCTTTCTCAGCACTGTTTAATGCCGTCTTTCCAACCATGCGGTAAAGAATC